TGCTCCAATACCTTCCCCAATACCAGAACTTCCGGTCAGAGGGAGATCTCTTTCTGACCCGCAGTGCCAAGGGACGATGGAGCTGGCAGAGGCGTCCCGAGGTGGGGTGACAACCGGTGCGGATACCGGGTGACACCCTGCAGTGACGTCATCGCGCACGTGTGTGATGACGTCACGTGTGGTACCACCATTACCTGCTGGCGGCCATCTTGGTGATGCACACCGGCAGAGAGAGTGGAGGGGACGTCACCTGGCGGGATAAGGTATGCCGCCGGGTCCCCTCCTCTCTCGAGCAAGTGTCATGCTCTCGGTCTTTGACCGAGTGCCTGACTTTTCGGGGGGGTTGGGGGGTGACACCAAAATGGCTGTCAATCATTTTGGCGTCACCCTGGTGCAGGCCGCTCCCCCAGCACCCCCCTTGTGACGCCACTGGAGCTGGCTTTCTTTCCAATCAGGAAGCTGGGCGGCATGTAATGAACCACCTCCCGGGCTTCCTGATTGGTCAGGAAGCCACGAAAAATACCTATGAACAATGTGACGCCGACATCTAAGTTAATCAGGAGGCAGGTCGTAACTTGCCACCAGGCTTCCTGATTGGCTAGCTAGCCAGCTTCACCTAATCAATCAATAAGCCAGGTGGTACATTATGAGTCGCGTCCCGGCCTCCTGATTGGTCAGGAAGCCATGCTGCCTAGAAAAATGTGAAGCTGGCTTTCAAGTTAATCAGCAAACCAGGCTGCCTAGAAAAAAATTGAAGCCAACTTCCTAACCAATCAGGAAGCCGGAAGGCAGGTCATGACGTGCCGTCCGGCTTCCTGATTGGCTAGGAAACCAGCTTCACTTGTTTGTAGGCAGCCTGGCTTCCTAACCAATCAGGAAGCTGGGAGGATGGTCATGATGTGCCGTCCAGCTTCCTGATTGGCTAGGAAGCTGGCTTCACTTTTTTCTAGGCAGCCTGGCTTCCTGACCAATCAGAAAGCCGGGACGTGAGTCAAGACGTTCCGCCCACCTTCCTGATTGGTCAGGAAGCCAGGCTGCCTAGAAAAAAGTGGCTAGGAAGCTGGCTTCAGCCAGGAGACGGGTTTACATCATGACTCGCCGCCCGTCTTCTTGATTGGTCAGGAAGCCAGCCAGCCTCTGAAGTCAGTGTTCTTCCACTTGAACATCGGCTTCAAAGGCAATCAGGAAGCCGGGCACCGGGTCATGATTCGCCTCCTGACTTCCTGATAACTGGGGCACAAAGCACCGGTATCGGCATTTGGTATCGACGAGTACCGAAAATATTGGTACTCAAAAATGGTAATTTGCACTAACATGGAATCTTGGTGCTGGTGACATCTCCGCAGTCATTACGAGCACCCGTTAATTTTGGGATATTCGGTAAGGAGTGCGGCAAGGTATATGGATGCTGGTTTGTATAGTACATATCTGGGGTCCTGTGGCATACTGGCATCTTATGGGGGCATCGTTTTACGTAGAGACAGGGGCGTATCTCCTGCAAGGTAAACAAGGCGTTTGCTTTGGGCGGCAGATTTTAGGGGGGCAACAAAAATGCCACCGCCAAAACACTCTTGGCAGCCGGGTGGAGGTGGTGGCAGCGTCAAAGGACAGAGTCCACAAGGAGGAAGCGAAAAGCGTCAAAGTGCCTAGGGTGGCCCCAAACCAGAATACACCACTGCGTACAGATTCTATATCTGGGGACCTGTGGCACACTGGCATCTTTGTGATTACCTCCAATGTTATTTAATCACAAAATATGTGCATAGCCTATACTTTACCAAAAAATTGCCGCGAGGTGCTACAGTGTTCGGGTTTGACTTGAAGAAAAGGTGGCAACCCTATTCTCTAGTCAAGCACACTGTACGGCTGGAGTGTGCACGCTGACATGTGGGAGCAGGAGGCAGATTCTCAACTGAGAAGCAGCAAGCTCACTCCGCCTCCCTTCTCTTTCCCTCTCTCTTACCAGTATTTCCTTTCCCTCTCTCTTCACCGATGATCTCCTGCTCTGTCTCAGTAATCAGATGCTTGCAGCAGTTGTATGGAAACCTGTTCACTGTAAATCTTAGTTCCCCCTGACCATTCAGCTATTACCATAACCCCGCCCCTTCCTTACAGGTGCTTAGTATTGACATAGCCCTGCCCCCTCTCTGCAAGCGCCGGTGTTCTATGAGAAAGAGACAAATGTCTCCTCTCACATTGTGTGCTCTGATCCTTCATCCCCCCCCTCCTCTGTACAGGAAATCTCTGACTTGTCTCCCCGTCACATGTCACCGCTCTCAGTGTTGTGTTGCTGCGATCTGATATTTCCTGTCACATCAACCCCATCCTCACTGCTCATCCCCATCCATGCTCCTCATACCCATCTGCACTCCTCATCCCATCCGTGCTCCTCATCCCCACTCCTCATCCTCACTGCTCATCCGCCTCTGCACTCCTCATCCCTATCCGCACTCCTCATCCCCATCTGCACTCCTCATCCTCATCCGCACTCCCCATCAGCATTCCTCATCGGCGCTCCTCATCCCCAAACGCACTCCTCATCCCCAAACGCACTCCTCATCCCCATCTGCGCTCCTCATCCCCACCCACGCTCCTCATCCCTATCCGCACTCCTCATCCACATCCACACTCCTTATCGGCGCTCCTCATCCCCATCTGCGCTCCTCATTCCCAAACGCACTCCTCATCCCCATCCACACTCCCCATCCCCACTGTATTGTCGGGATCTCTCCCCACTGCGGCGCTTAGCGCCGCCCACCAGCTTGAAGTAACGATTGTATGTTTAGGGTCCATTTTGGATTATAGGAGTAAATTGCAAAATTTACTCCTATAGCCCATGGAATCCAAAAGTAAAGAAAAGCTTGGACCCCATAGTTCTCCTTTAAGTTATGCTATGTGAGTAGGAACATGTAAAAAATATGAAATAGGTGCTATACCAATTTGGCTGCATTCAGAGTTAACAGTGGGAGGACATGTGCTGAGCTCCCTCTCAGATCTCAGTCCAGAAAGCCGCGGTGCCGGTCCCAGGCCCGCACATGGGACAGCGGAGCCCTGGGTTAGGCGGCAGAGGGGGGAGAGAGCACACTTGCACTGAACATGTTTACATACAAGCGATCAGGCACTTGTATGTAAACAGCCATCTGCTTATATTATTTTTTTTGTCTGGGGCAAACTTATTCATGCATAGCCATGTGTGTGTAGAAGTGTATGGTGTGTGCTCTAAAAGTGTTGTTTTAGTGCTCTCTTATTCAATTCTGATGCTGGTCTCCAACAGCCCTTGAAAGCCATATACACTGAGTGGCCAGATTATTATGACCACCTGACGTTTGTAGCCAAATTAGCTATAATTTCGCTAGAGGGCCAGACCATTATAGATAGGGAAGCAGGTTGTTTACCACGACAGTAGAAGTGATTTTTTTCTTAAGATATGGGTAAACAATGCGATTTAACAGCCTTTGGACGTGGGATGATTGTTGGCGCTCGGAGCTCTTCTCATCCCTCCCTGGAGCCACCCCAAGGAGGGATGAGAGACTCTATGGATCCCCGCTGCTGTCCCCCGCTTGTAGGGTCTGTGGCAGCGGGGATCCGTGATCAAATCACCGGCGGGGGGGTCGGGGGAGCAAGCGGCTGCTGTCCGCAATTCAGGATGGCCGAGCGGTGTTCCGATCGGAGCCGCTGTCATCCTGTCAGTTTTTGGATGATAGCGGCTCTGTAGCGTGGCCGAGCGGGGGATAGTTAAATATCATTGATATTTAACGATCCCTCTGTTTACAGCAAACACCGGAGTGATCGTCTGATCACTCCAATGTTTGTAAATAACTGGGGACACATAGTA